AGAGTTTATTTTTATCAATAAATTCTTCTGTCCTGCTCAACTCATTCTTCTTTCTTCTTTTCTTGCGTGAAGCAAGAGACCGAAAGTACCTTGTTTCAGACTGATGGAAAGAGTCCTAATGTTAGCAGAATTACCTTCCCAGAATTTGACATCTGCCTGGTTCTTGTCTAGTTCTAATAATGGCTACAGGCTGAATGCAAGTCACAGAAGAGTATGAAACTCAAGCTGAAAATAATCTAGTAACTATGGCTATGTTATTAATAATGTGCACATGATGGCCACTTTAAGTAATGAAGAGGAAACTACAGCTACATACAGACATATTGCACTGAAAGTATAATAACTTTAAATTTTCTGTAAATACATTCCAAAATTAATCCCAGATTTGATCACAAACTGTTCCTTATAGGAAAGTCTATGTCATCCATCGCCTTCTACTATTAAAGACAGTATATACTTTGAAATAGTCAAATTACTGAAAAATTAGCCTAAAGAAAAGGTAGGAAGATTAAGCAGCATATTATAAGAATATCATTTGTAGAATTACACGGCCCCACTGGTTTTACATTTATGCTACAAAATATGTAAGACTGCTAAGGTTAAAAAGTCACAGCAAGAAAAGTTTCCTCACGCAGATTAAAAATTGTCATATAACACTATCCCTCCTCGGGGTATTCTCAAGACTTCTATCAGTTGATGCAAGGTGACCTTTGTTCCAGAGCGATTCTGATCAGCTGGAGCTGACAAGCCACAGGTTCCAGAAGCCCATCACAAAGTAGCTACTTCTCTAGTTTTCCTGCCTGCCCCATTTCTCTGCCTCTCCAGAAACCTGTTCAACAGTTGCCGAAGCAGCACAGCAGAAAAGCTCTTCCTGCTTAAGTGATGTGACTAAACACATCATTCCCAAAGTGAGTTCCATGGACCTCTGTTGTCTCCCGAAGTAACAGGTGGTCAAATATACATAAAATAATGGGTTACGGAGAAGTTACCTTAAGAATTCTTCCAGCTTTCAAGATGTGAAAGCATATCCTAAATCTCCTTGAGTAATATTTGGCCATGGCAAATGGGTTTACACAAAACCATCATGTGAGTACTGCTATTCCTTCAATTTGGAAACAATTTCCTTTACCAGGAAGCTTTACTGAAGCCAACCAAATCTTAGAATAAGCCTATACCTGAGGAAATGTATCACCTTCAAATTAACAGGTTCACTGATTCTTAAAAGTTGAAGAAAATCAATAATGTACCAAATCTGGAATGCTTTCTAACTCACAAAACATCCACTCCATTTTTTAGTTAACTCACAGAAATTTTTCACCAGAGTTGCTCATCTACTGAATGACTGTAACCACTGAAGCTAATTCTGCCTCCAAATTAATATTAAAATTAAAAAAAATCAAACTAATTCCTGATGCACACAAATGCCCTTCAAATCTATCACAACAATTCAAAATTCACCATTGCATGTTTATATGGCACTTTAATTTCACAAAGTTGTTTCCGCCTACATTCTTTCATTTATGCTTCATCAGAATGAATATTATCATTCTGCAAAGGCTAGGGATTAGGTAGCTATACATAATTGCAGTTCAATGATTTGCTCAATGCCAGGAAACTATTTTTTGGTCTTTCAAATCTAAAGGTAGCCACACCTTCAATTAATCAATAGTTAGGATCTGTATCAATCCTACATTCTCAGAACAATGTTCCTGAGTGCTTTAAGACACTCAATTTCAGTTATGCACCCTAAATTTAGTGACACATCCTTATGTACTATAAGCACTGTGCTATGTCTCTTCACATATATATTCATTCGTCAAACAACTATTGTGCCTATTTTACAATGAAAAGCTTACCAAGTTTCTCAGAAACCAGATGATAAAATGGCAGAACCAGGATTCAAATCTAGGATTTTTAGCTCCATATTAAGAGCTCTCTCTCCTCAAAATACCATTACTTGAAATCCAGGGATTCCTCTAAGATACCTCATCTTGCCTCTCTATTCTTAAATAAAATTATCAAGTACTGCCAATCCTCTTGCAGTACTCTCCTGAAGTGACCCATTTAATCACGTTAAAACTCACCCTGCCCTGATGACTTCAGGAAGCCTGTCTACATTGAGCTCATCCAATCTATCAGTTCTCCACAGCCTAATCTCACCCTAAACTACCTTGTAGAATCACATGACCTGGGTTTGACTCTTGGCTCTATCACCTCGTAGTTCTGTGACCCTGGACAGGTAACTTGATCGCACTGACCCTGAAGCTCCTTATCTGTAAGATGGGAATATTACTACCTGTCACACAGGGCTGACCACAGGTAAATGAGATGATCCATGTCAACTATTTACAAAGTTGTCAGGCACTAGGAAGCAATTTAAATATTTGCTATTATTTCATCTTGCAATGTTTTTCAGTTACTTGTCAAGAAGCAAACATGCAGTAAATGCTATAATATGAATCTCTGGCTCAACCAGTATTATTCATCCCTAAAGATGAATCGATACTAGTAAAAAAGGATGAAATAAAAGTTCACCTCCTCTGGAATCTTAACATCTCTTAATGATCCAAATAGGTTGCAAGAGCAAAACACAAAGAACAATGGGCGAAAAGTAAGTGACACAGCAAAGGAAGCAAAGGTTCCATAGTCATACATACCCCTCTCTTCAAATCCTAACTCTTGTCCCTTAGGAGATATGTTACTCTGGCAAGTTATTTCACTTCCCTGGAATAAATTTCCTTAGTAACTACTAACAAGCACCGATTTTTCTGAAAATTAAATGAGACTGCATTTGTAAAATACCTGGCACTTTTAAATGCTCAACAAATGCTGGTTCCCGTCTCTTGTTTCAACAGCTTAGGCTATAATTAGAGCTTAGAAGTAGGATAGTGGCAATAAAAATGGGAAAGTGATATTAGTGACCACAGAACACACGCAGATTTTGTGAATTTAAGAAAAACAATTATGAAGTGAGTTTTAAAAACTACTCCGTCAGGTGTGACCATGTGCAGTGAGTACAGCAGCGTATCTGGGCTTGGTTTCATTATGGCACAGCGGCAGCATCGACACCTTGGAGCTTTCTGTTTGAGAGCAACTGCACAAGGGAATCTGGCTGGTCAGCCACTGACAGAGGGGACTTCCCTGGTGGTCCAGTGACTGAGGATCTGCCTGCCAATGCAGAGGACATGGGCTGGATCCTCGGTCCAGGAGGATCCCACATGCCGCCGAGAGCAACTAAGCCCCTGCACCGAACTACTGAGCCCACACGCCCTAGAGCCTGGGCTCTGCAACAAAAGAAGCCACTGCAGTGAGAAGACCCCCCAACCTGCTGCAACTAGAGAAAACCCATGCACAGCAATGAGGATCCACTGCAGATAAAAGTTAAAAAAAAAAAAAAAAAGACACAAGAAGTGGTATAAAAGAGGAGATAAATAACTTCAATTCTCAAGAAAGCCTTGTCAGGACCAGTGGACAAATTGCTGTCCCTTTTAATTGAACCTTTTATTTCCTTCTGACTTTAACATACGGATCCTAATCTTCACCCAATATTTAAATTCAAATTCAAATAGTTCAGTGGAAAAGAATCTGCCTGCAAACGCAGGAGACAAGGGTTCAATCCCAAGTCCAGGAAGATTCCCTGGAGGAGGAAACCCACTCCAGTATTCTAGCCTGGAGTATCCCATAGATAGAGGAGCCTGGCAGGTTACAGTCCATGGGGTGCAGAGTGGGACACAATTTGAGCAACTAAGCATGCACGCACACACTGCATATTTAAAATACTAAATAGAACAGTTTCTACGATCTAAGAGTGAAAGAGGTTACCTTCAAATAACCCCATGATACAGATTAAACATAAAATTTTACAATAGTGTCTACTAGTATTCTGGCCAAAGTTTCACTAATACTGAATCAACTGAATTAACAGTTTATTGACTGCAGGATTCAACTATACAGAGCTAACAGCGTGGATTCAACACTATATTAGGCTGATTCAATATGACTGATACTTTGACAACAGTAGTAGACACAGTATAAAATTTTCCAATAACTGAAAAATGGTCTAGGTATATCAAAACATGGATCTGAAATTTTCCAAGAGGGCTCAAAAGGAAAAAAGATGGTCAAAAACAAGATTCCAGGTTCAATATTAGAAAAACTAAATGCTTTAAAAATCATAAATAAGTGCCATATTGTTCTCTGTATTTGTGTCTTTTAGATTTCTCAAAATAGAAAAAAGGCACTTCAGCATTATAGTAATTGTAATTGAAGAGGGTCCCCATCATTTCTAATTAGTTCTAATGAAATCAACATCTGGCTTCCTGAAGTTGATCTTTCCTTTTAGGAAAAAAAAAAAAAGAGGAAGAAAAGTGCCTTAAGATACCTTTCTCTTATCTAGTTTCTTTCCTTGGATGTATTATTGACAAACTTATTATTAGTTTTTTCTACTTCACTATATGCTTCAAGAAGGCAAAATTCTCTCCCATTTACCTAGGAGCCATAGCCCAGTGCCTCGTAACATTGAGGTATTCATCTTTAAACTAAACTCCTTAAAGGCCATAAAATATTACCTATGAATGAGGTTTAAAACTAAGGTACATGTATATCCCAATAATGGAGCTCAGAGTTTCCACACATCAATAATGTACAATACCAAAAAGCAATGTTTGATCTCCATTTGTGGTCATGACCACCTCATAACTACCACAGTTATGTTTCTAGTTAAAGGAGAAAAACCAAATTGCTGTCCTACTCTGACATAAGAAAATAAGCAGCAAACACTATAAAGATACAGACACTAAAATATGACAATTAACTAATAAGGCAGTAGCATTCCTTATCCATCTCCATAAAACCAGACATGGTATATCAATTACTAGACACTGTTATGTACAGATACAAGTACAGTAATAAATCTAAAACTGCCTCAGACTGCCCAACTTGAAAACCTGACAAACCAAAGGAAATTTTCTTTAATAAAAAAGCCTTTCCAGTAAACTTACTTGCTAATTTGGCCTGTAATCCGGAAGGTCCAGGTTTGGATGTCTCTGACTTAGAAGACCCTGGAAGAGACAGTTTTGTTTTAGGAAGGCTGACTTTAGGGCTGAAGCGAGCAGCCCAATCGAATTTTGAAGAGCCACCAGTTTTACTCTGTTCCTTTTCCCTGCTGCTTCTCCTGGGGCTGGGGCTGGATGCTGAGCGGGAACGCCTGGCCTTGTTCTGGTCTTTTCCTTGTTTCACCCTGGCACCTGGTGGAACAGCAGAGGAGGCCGAGGCAACGGCAGAGGACGATGAGGAGGTCGAGGCAGCGGACGACGAGTCGGTGATGGTGCTACACCCAGCTTTGGCTGAGGCGGCCGATTTTGAAGCCAGCTTGGTAGGTTTTGCAGATCTCTCTTCGGCACCAGTGGCTTCAGACACAGAAGCACTCTTTATACAAGAACTCTCTGTCCTCTTTCTTTTCTGACTCCGTGAACTAGCAGCGGCCCCACTCTTTCTGGTATGAGCCTTGCTCGTGGATGGAGATGGTGTAGATTTCAGTTGTGGCTCCTGGTCTAAGTGTCTCTTCTTTGACTTACTATGTGGCTTACTCGTTTCTGAGGGAGATTCAGTATGCTGAAGTGCTTTGGGTTTTTTGGCAGAGCTAGGAGAATTGGTCCTGTTGTAGTCTGGACTAGCACTGCGTTTCACTCCTCGAGAATTGTCTTTCTTAGGCACCTGCCCCGTTTTCTGCTTTTCTGAAGTATTGGCTCTGTCTGGATCCTCTGGTTGTGGGACTATGACAGCAGATGACGAACTGCAGCTTCTAAAAGGTTAGATAAGAAAAGAGTTAGTATCAGCCCATCATCATAAAACCTATCATAATAAATATATTAATTTCTCAAGTCCATGGAAATAAGATTTTTTTAAGTGCTAAAGTATTCCTGGTAAGCCCAGTAACTAAACAAACAGAGGCTTGCAAACGGTTCAACATTGGAAAAAGAAAAGTGGGGGACAGGGAGATACTTTAAAGGGTAAAATATTAAAAGATCAGGTTCATTCTTTAGCCCAAAGATTACTGACACTGATACTCCTAATCACAACACAAAAATTAGGATTGCCAAAAAAAGGATGCTTTTTTAGTAGTTCAGAACCAGTTTAAACTAAAATCACCATACTCTGTTTACAAACGCAACTTCTTTGTTACAGTTTAAAGTAAATAAGCATTAACATACACATTTATAAAAGGAAGGTTAGAAAGTTTTTTTTACTGTGGTATCAGATATTTACAGTTATATTCTTTTCTCCTATCAATTAGATCTTAAATCACTGACCTGTGTCTCTGACAATAAAAAAAAACAAGAAAAATGAATTCTAAAATGGCACTGCAGATGCCTGTAATGGTTTGTCAAGCAAAAGGAGAAACTCAGGCAAAGGGAGAAACCTGCAGGTCTCTGATAAAGGAGAATAAAAGCACTGCCTAGGGGATGTTGCACTAACATCACTGCAGAGGTGATGTTAACTTTCCTCCTAAAAGTTACACCCACAGAATGACGAAAAAACATATCACAGCATTTTGGCATAACCTGGTATGTTTTAAAATAAGGCAATGATTCAAATGCAAATAACTCCGCCTTGAAAAATGGATAAGCAATGTGAAGATTTACCTTTTAGAAAGGTGTCCCCTTGACAGTTCAGAAGTAGTATTAGACTGCACTTTGGGTGCCTTAGAATTAGATTTTCTACTCTCAGGAGGGCTATATCCCTTATGTTTTGCCTGCCCTAAATGTGACCTGTCAGCAGAAAACCAAAACAGAAATCTATCAGGAAAATGAGATGCAAATACAACACTGAAAGTGAAATATTTTTTCATCAAAAAAAAAGCCTCCCAATTCATTATTGACCCTATCCTTTTCCCAAATATTTCTATAATCAATTATTCTATCAAATAATCTGGCCAAAGAAATTACTTCTTAAAACCAAACCCCTCAATACCCAAGAGGTAAGATTTTTTTATAACCAGTTGCTTAAGGTGGGAGGGGGGACCGGGATGGGGAATACATGTAAATCCATGGCTAATTCATTTCAATGTATGACAAAAACCACTGCAATGTTGTAAAGTAATTAGCCTCCAACTAATAAAAATAAATGGAAAAAAATAAAATAAAAGTCATTACACTAAAAAAAATAAAATAAAATAAAATAAATGTGGATTAGACTGTAAAAAAAAAAACCAGTTGCTTAATATTGTATAGCAATATTATAGTTGCTTAAGCAATAATGAATTTCAGCAATTTTTAATAAAGATATTCAAATATGTCCAATTTTTGCAAAACACAAATCTAGGCTTTAGATCTAAACACTCCTTTAAAAGAAAATGTAACTATAGTAGATTAAAGTGTTTATAGAAAAGGCAATTTGTGATCCCTACAATGATACTGATCACCAATTTGTATATTGTAATTCAGGTCTGCACAATAAATGCAGAAGCGGACAGAGTCAATTCTCAAACTGATTTTACAAAGAAAATCATTAAAAGCACTAAAAACAGTTAACAAGCTTACATGAAATCAATGGTGATATTTACTATGAATTTAAAGCACTACTAGTAGAAAGTATACCAAAACCAAGTCTTAGGTAAAGAAATACAGAATTTGCCACAAAATATTCCAAACACAGTCCTAACAACTGTACCATTGATAGAGGGTTGGGTTATATTCATAGTAATTCAAATCCTGATGCTGCACTGTTTTAAGAGCAAGTTTGAGGGATATGAAGAAACTTTTCAGTTGTTAAGACTTTTTAACCTCTGGCAAAGGTCACATGAGATTTACACAAGCAAAAGAAGCATGCATGAATATATACCCTTGAAAAGCTGGTGTTTCAGAGGAGAAATATCAAGGTTAATAGATTCAACTTATGTAATTCATGGCCAACATCCATCCTTCATGTAAATAACATAAAAGAGCATATTCTAATGAGAACAAAGTTTCAGTAATATTAAAGCTGTTTAATTTTGTTTAAAAATTTTTCAAGTCTTTCATTTTGAACATGATCTCAAAAGAATCAGAAATAAGCCACTAAACACCGCATATGACAACTCCATCTAAAGGTACAGTCCTTAATGGATCATACATCTCCCATCATCGCTTCAAAGCCTGACCTAATGTTTCTGGTCTCAGTGTCCTTGTTTTCTCTCACTTTTCAAGAAGAGCTCAATACTGGATTCTTGAAAGAAGATATGACATTATTCTCAGTGAATATTTCTCAGGTTCATACTATTATTTTCATTTTTAAGGTTCTGATCCATAACAATAGTATTCTCTAAACATTTAACTGGATCAACTACTAAAAAACTATAGTAACCTATAGGGTTTCCTGTATCTTAGTCTTTGATGATATTTCCTTCCAGGGTATATGTTATATTTTCTGAGTGTATCAAAGCTGAACCTTGTAGAATTTTATATATTGTAATTTAGTCCTTATTCTTCCTAGATATTCTTACACTGGCAGGCTGATATTTTGCTTTATCCCATGAGTTTCTTATCAAGAGATTTAGTTTTCAGAAGTTGCTTTTGTTTTTGTTTCATTTCTAGTATCAGATATGAGAGTTCTAATAGTTTAGCCACCTGATGTGAAGAATCACCTCACTGAAAAAGACCCTGATGCTGGGAAAGATTGAGGGAAGGAAGAGAAGGAGACAACAGAGGATGAGATGATTGGCTAGCATCACTGACTCAATGGACATGAGTTTGTGCAAACTCCAGGAAATAGTGAAAGACAGGGAAGCCTGGCTTGCTCAGTTTATGGGGTCCCAAACAAACAGTTACGACTTGACAACTGAAAAACAACTCTTTTTTAAAGGAGTTAAGACTGAGCAAATTCTCAAATCACTTCATAGTTATTTTTTAAAAAGGAAAGTAAAATATTGCTTTTCAGGTAAATAATTTACTATCCATGGAATACAATTTACTATCCAGGGAATAATATTTATAAATTATGTCATTCAGGTTCTCTACATTTTTATTTTTTTAAAGTTTGCTGTAATCTTTTAAATGAATCACAATCTCTAATACGTTTCATAGTAAAATTTAAATATTCCTTGAAAGTTTTAAGATCATATTAAAAGAAAATCTTATCAGTTCAAAGCTAGACAACTTTGTGATAATGTTCAAGTAGTTAAGTATTTAAATGTCAATCCCTAAAAGAAAAAAAAAAAGACATAATATATTCCTAAGTATCAGTAAGTCTGTCAACAGAAACTGACCAACATTAACCTACGCTGATCACACAGTAGAGGCAGCAGTCTTCCTCTCCTCCACCCAAATAAATCGTTCTCTGGTTTTAAAACATATTGAAACTTACAGACACCCAAACCCACTCCTGCAGTTTTCATGTCCTTATAAATCACCTTCAAGGAACTAAAGAACACAGCAGGTAGTCTCAAAGTGAATGAAAGGGGAAGGGGAGAGGAAGGAAGGGGAGGAGAAAAAGAAAGAAAATGATGTCCAATCATTCGAGAAAGTGAGGCTCACAAAACTGGCTTCAATACCATACAGATCTGACTGGATTAATACCTTTCCTAAAATTATTTTAGGTGTGATATTCTCACTGAGGCCTGGTGAAAAAATTATTTTTAAATATTACAAAATACTGATCTTTACGTCCTTCTGACTATTATTTGGTGGTGGTGGTTTAGTTGCTCAGTTGTGTCCAGATTCTTGCGACCCCATGAACTGTAGCCTGCCAGACTCCTCTGTCCATAAGATTTCCCAGGCAAGAATACTGGAGTGGGCTGCCATTTCCTTCTCCAAGGATCCTCCAGACTCAGGGATCAAACCCTCATCTCCTGCACTGCAGGAAGATTCCTTACTGCCGAGCCACCAGGGAAGACCCTCTGACTATTGTTCAGAATGGTCTAATACATTTTTTGTAAAAGGTAGTAAATATTTCCAGTTTTGAGGTGGTACAACGTGTCACAGAAGCAGGTATAAGTAACATATAAACCAATAGAGATGGCTATGTTCTAACAAAATTTTTGTTTACAAAAGCAGGCAGTAGGCTGGATCTGGCCTGTGACTTACCACAAGAGGAGTAGGCAATCGGATGGTTACCATAAGTAACAATGTATGCCCTCCCAAAGTGGGACTTCATTTTATTATGCCCACTTATAAATTGTTAATGCTCAGACACTATAAAGAAATCGCCACAAAATAATAATGCCCAATTAGAACAGCCAATGAGAATATAACAGCATTCAGTGCTAAAGGAGTCTTGATGCCTGTTAGCTCATTTTACCAACTCCCTCATTTATCAAACTTTATGTTTAATATTAATTTTTATTGAAAAGCATGATCTCTTTAAGATCTGTAAAATTTATACCTACTATAAATCAAATTTGCAAGACAGTAAAATTCAGGACAAACTCTTAAGTAGCACTAGAATGAGCCTATTTAGTGAATTAGAATCCAGGATAGTTGGGTGGGTGGGTGGGTGTGGGGACTGAAGCTTCTGTATCAACCTATGGATGTTACGGGGCGGGGGACCCTCATGCTCTACAATATCACCCACTAAAGCTAACTAATAGTGAAAATATAATTAGAGAAACAGCATTCAAACCTATGTTATTATTTTGCAGTTAAGATTCCTAAAAAAAAACCATCAATTCTAGTAAAGATTAAACCTCCACTAACATTTGCACCAATAATCACAGATGGTCCACTCATGAGAGTTGTTTCTGTACTTTCTCTTCTTAAGGTATTTTCTTTTAGGACCAGCTTTGACAAAATTAAAAATATAATTCTGGAGAAGACTTCCTTTTTCTCATTTTCCTTCTTTATAAATATAGGAGAGTAAATAAATGGTTTTGAGCTTCCTGAGAGTATTAAACAGTGCAAAACGTGGTGGTTCTGGAAACCACTGAACTAGCTTATTTCTTGCACTAAATGACTTCTTTTCTGCACAATTTCCATGTATTTTGTAAGATCGTCATATATTTCCAAATCTTACTCTTTTGATTGAAATGTCTGTCCCAACTGCAGTGCATATATTAACACTACAGAAAAAGTTGCCTCTGAACCAACATGATTTCCACAGCACACTGACATCATTTCCAAGTGGATGTGGGCCAACTGAGGTTAAAGAAATCTATGCTAAAAAAAAGCATGCTATTATCAACTCTTGGTTGTGTGCTTTCAATAGTAACTTGTAACCAAGTTCCAAATGCCTCGTGGTGACTTTCAGAAGGCAAACTCTAGTGACTGTCTCTTCTAGAAACTTTACTTTTACTATGCTTTAGTAAAATCTTTGGTATCCTGAAAGATTAGAAACCAACTCTGGTTCAGAAGACATCTAAAAGAGGGCAAAACCTCGTAGCAAAGAGCACATTCCTAATCTAATCGTAGGCAAAATGAGGAAAACGGCTCATTACAAGCGGCTAGTTAATTCCTTGTATTACAGGTCTCAGATTCTGTTTGAAATTAATATCTGTGCCAGCATACATGTTACCAAACAGAAATGATATGGTACATAATTAAACCTCCAAATGTCTGTGTGTATGTCCATACAGACAAGCAGACTTTTTTATGCCTTTACGTTATACATGCACAATTATAACATTTAGTTTTATCTTCTATAAATTAAATGCTAGCTTATAATGCTATAAAACACATTCTAAATCAGCCTCAAGATGGAAGGTTCATTCAAAACACTTTAAACAAAAAACTCACTAATGTCTCCTGTAAAATGTACTAGTTTCTATTTCAGTCACAAAACAGAAGTTAAGTAGTCTGAC